AAGTTATACATATCCATTCAACCTGGATAGCTGTGGGGAGCCTCCGGGACTCGCCCAGAAAATGGCGTTTCATTACATTCAATGCCGTTTTTTTTTTTATCTTAATATTTGGGAAATAATGCTCCATTTCTTAATGTTAACTTTAATTTGATCGAATTTATTTTCATAGTATTTTATTTTGACTCTCCTAATTATTTTGGACAGCATTGATGTGTATCTCTTTGAAACTTCTTTGGAGATGACCTATAACCTATACTTCTTCTCATGGTCATGTCTTTTATTAATAGATTTATGTATTCCCTTCTTAAGCCATGGATTGTTTAATCTTTTAGTTGTGACTTGTTTAGTTAACATTGGACGGTAGGTGTTATAGAGGCTCCGAGTTTTCTGAAGAAATGATTGCACTGCTAGGTTAATGTTCACTATGTTTTCTATTTCAGTCTCCCAGTTGATATTAGCAACAATGAAGTTGCTTATAGAAGTTTCATTGTTCAGCCTAAAGCTTATCTTCAATGTATCTAGAGATAATTGTATTGTATTGGGCAGCCAGCTGGCACAACTGAATGGTTCAGGGTTCTATTTCCATACAAGACATTTGGGAAGATTTGCTTAACAAAATACAAATACAAATATTTATTCAGGTAAAGTACATACATACAAGGTGAGATACAAAAGTTGATGGATTTATAGATAAAGCTAGTACATACAATGCCTAAAGCCACTATTACGCAAAGCGTTTCGGGCAGTTAACCCTTAAATGGCGCATAGCTATATACCATTTGACACCCACAGGCGCATACAAAAAAAAAAAAAAATAAATAAAACTTTTTTCTTCCTAACCTGTTAATTTGTATTCACTGATCATGAAAAAAATAATACAAAAATAGTGAGTGGCATATATTGCCCGCTATAAGGCTGGGAAGTCTGACAAAAAAAACAGGCGCTGACTCAGCATGCGTCCCAGGCGGTCTGTTGCTCGCCAGCTGTCAGGACGGAGTTGCCACAAAGAGATAATTACCTAATTATTTCAATATGTTTGATTGATTTTTCGTAGTTTTTTTGCTGTAATATTATTCAATAGTGTGCAGTGTGATATATTTATATAATAAAATGAGTGAATCATCGCTGTACTCAAAAATATGGTTACCTTGAGGTTACCTTGAGGTTACCTTGAGGTGCTTCCGGGGCTTAGTGTCCCCGCGGCCCGGTCGTCGACCAGGCCTCCTGGTTGCTGGACTGATCAACCAGGCTGCTAGACGTGGCTGCTTGCAGCCTGACGTATGAGTCACAGCCTGGTTGATCAGGTATCCTTTGGAGGTGCTTATCCAGTTCTCTCTTGAACTCTGTGAGGGGTTGGCCAGTTATGCCCCTTATGTGTAGCGGAAGCGTGTTGAACAGTCTCGGGCCTCTGATGTTGATAGAGTTCTCTCTCAGAGTACCTGTTGCACCTCCGCTTTTCAACAGGGGTATTCTGCACATCTTGCCATGTCTTCTGGTCTCATGTGATGTTATTTCTGTGTGCAGGTTTGGGACCAGCCCCTCTAATATTTTCCACGTGTAAATTATTATATATATCTCCCGCCTGCGCTCAAGGGAGTACAGATTTAGGCTCTTTAGTCGGTCCCAATAGTTTAGGTGTTTTACTGAGTGAATTCTAGCAGTATAGGATCTCTGCATGCTCTCCAGGTCGGCAATTTCTCCAGCTTTGAAAGGGGCTGTCATTGTGCAGCAGTACTCCACTCTAGAGAGCACAAGCGTTTTGAAAAGTGTCATCATCGGTATAGCATCACTAGTGTGAAAAGTTCTTGTTATCCAACCTGTCATTTTTCTTGCAGTTGTGATGGCTACTTTATTGTGTTCTTTAAAGGTAAGGTCTTCCGACATGAGTACACCCAGATCCTTTACATTGCCTTTTCGTTCTGTCATGATTTGCCTGAGTTTTGTACGTGGTTTCCGTTTTTATATTTTCATTTTTTCCATAGTGCATGAGCTGGAACTTATCTTCGTTAAACACCATATTATTTTCTGTAGCCCATAGAAAGACCTGATCTACATCTGACTGGAGGTTCGCCGTGTCCTCTATGTTGCCTACTCTCATGAAGATCCTAGTGTCATCTGTAAAGGATGATACAGTGCTATAGGTTGTGTTCTTGTCTGTGTCCAATATGAGGATGAGAAAGTACTGGAGCAAGCACAGTACCCTGGGGGACTGAGCTCTTCACGGTTGATGGGCTGGATTTTATTTTGTTGACTATTACACATTGGGTTCTGTTGGCTGGATTTTATTTTGTTGACTATTACACATTGGGTTCTGTTGGTCAGGAAATTGTAGATCCATCTGCCAAAAATTTTTATAATGTAATTTTTTCCGGTAATTCCTTTTGAACGCATTTTATGTGCAATAACGCCATGATCACATTTATCAAAGGCTTTTGCAAAATCTGTGTAAATTACATCAGCGTTTTGTTTGTCTTCCATAGCATCTAATGCCGTATCATAGTGGTCCAGCAACTGCGACAGGCAAGAGCGCCCTGTTCTGAAACCGTGTTGTCCGGGGTTATGGAGATGCTGTGATTCCATGTATTTTGTGATCTTACTTCTTAGCATTCTCTCAAAAATTTTTATAATGTGCGATGTTAGTGCTGTCGGTCTGTAATTTTTTGCCTCTGCCTTATTTCCTCCTTTATGAAGTGGTGCTATTTCTGCTGTTTTTAGTATATCAGGAATAACGCCAGTATCTAGGCTTTGTCTCCACAGAATGTGGAGGGCCTGCGATAGTGGTTTTTTACAGTTCTTGATGAATATGGAGTTCCAAGAATCCGGGCCTGGTGCAGAGTGCATAGGCATACTGTTTATGGCTTCTTCAAAATCTAGTGGGGATAGGGTGACGTCTGATATATGATTTGATGTTGGTATCATATCCATGAAAAATTCATATGGGTTATCAATCTTTAGTGCGTTCAATGGCTCACTGAAAACAGAGTCATACTGCTTCCTCAGTAGCTTGCTCATTTCTTTGTTGTCATCGGTGAAAGTTCCATCTCCCTTTCGCAGGGGCCCGATACTAAATGTGGTTTTTGATCTTGATTTTGCATAGGAGAAAAAATATTTTGGATTTCTCTCTATTTCACTAATGGCCTTTTGCTCTCTTTGCCTCTCCAGGGTTTTGTATGATTCTTGTAGCTTGAGTTCAATTGTTTCTATTTCTCTACCTAACCTTCTTCGCCGTTCTTGAGGATAAGGTGCGACTCTCAAGTTGTTCCGCGATTCGTTTTCTTCGCCTATATAGGGAACGACGTTCCCGTTCCAATCTGCATCTCTTCTCTTTTTTCTTAGAGGTATGCGGTTTGAACATATTTCTAGTGCTACTGAGCTTATTTTTTGCAGGCACTGGTTCAGGTTTGCATTTTCTAGCTGTTCATCCCAGTTTATTTCTGTGAAGTCCTGGTTTATTTGCTCCCAGTTTATCTGTTTATTATTGAAGTTGAATTTGCTGAAATCTCCTCCCCCGGGAATCTGGACTGGTGTACATATTGTTGATTCAATTATGTTCATCAAACAGTGAACAAATACTTTGTCAGTTATTACACTATATACACAGGTTATATATAAGTATCTGCATGTTTTGTTCACTATAACGAACCACTAAGTTGGCATGCTGAGTGGCAGTGCCAGTGGCAGTCCGTCACTGGCTGCTACTTCCTCCCTCCCTCAAGTCACCTGACTCACCCACATTCTCCTCCCACAATACTGTTTTTGCTTTTATTCGCTATATACAGATGCTATATATAAGTATCTACATTCGTGTTCACCATAACGAACCACTAAGTTGGTATGCTGAGTGGCAGTGGCAGTGACAGGCAGTAGCAGCCCGCCACTGGCTGCCACTCCCTCCCTCACCTCACCTGACTTGCCACCATTCTCCACCCACGATACTGTTTTTGCTTTTATATACAGACGTTATATATAAGTATTTACATGTTTTGTTCACCATAACTGTACATCTAAGCTTGTATGGTGAGTAAAGGCACAAAGATGTAGCTACTGTACTCACACAGTCAGCTGATGGCTGCCGCCCTCAAGGCCAGACGCACTAATATTTCTCCTCCAACAATACTGTTTGTGGTGTTATTACGCTATATACACACATTATATATAAATATCTACCTGTTTTATTCACCATACTTGAACAAGTAAACTGGTATGGTGCCCAAAGACCATCGTGGTCACCGGTAAACAACATGATAAGTCGTGCAGACAACGCCACCGCCCTCACCAAAATGGCAGCTCCCAACCTACTCCTCTTGCTATTTATACCCTCTATACACACATTATATATAAGTATCTACATTTGTGTTCACCATAGCGAACCACTAAGCTGGTATTGTGAGTGCAGTCAATAAATGGTGGCCACACACAGTCAGAAGACAACGCCACTATCCTCCCCTTCCACAGCATTACTCCTCCCTCAATGGAGCACAGCACTAAATATCACCACAATCCTGCTATTATCAGATCCCTGGTCAGTTTATCACAGTCAGGGGTCTTCTGTAATAATATCATTGCTACATATTAGCATGAACAAGTATATTATGGCATTTTTAGGCGATGCTGTGGTCACAAGCTGAATAGCAGTGCTGTGAGCTCATGCTGCGTGTGTCAGGCTTAGTAGCTCACTCAATACTGAGGCCCCTAACACCCGGGAATTTGGCCAACGTTTTTTTTAAATAGCGTCTGTTTACAAGAGCCCTGATGAAGGTGTGGTGAACCCCGTGTATCCGCGGGCCGTTTAAATTTTGCGTAGTACTCCAAAGCATCATATGATGCGATGCGCAATTTAAGGGTTAACTCTGATATTCTGGTCACCTAGCTGTAAATGATAATTTTGAGGAGGGGTAGTATAAATCATATGGTATAAATCTCACAGGTCTCTTTACATCACTGTTTTATTGAATCATAACATATTTTCATGATTATTCTTTTTCCTTTGTTTACATCAGCAAATTCACGGCCTCCAAAGCGTCCGACATTTACCAAGGGGCTCGTGGATATGACTGTTGAAGAGGGGGGAGAAGTGAATGTACAGTGTCAAGTGCAAGGTCACCCAGAACCTAGAGTCATCTTCTCTAGAGACTCTCGCACACTTGAGCCTTCATCTAGACTTGCAATACGTAAGTACATGAATAGTAAAAACTACCATTTTATTTTCATTTATGAAAATACGTGCTCTTTGAAAATTACATTTTGGTGTCAGATATGTAAAGAAAGTGATGGTTATACATATAATAGGTTAATTCAATATGTCACCTTTCAGAGAGTGATCAATATGGCACTTGGATGTTGCGTCTGATTGAATGTACTGCAGCTGACAGTGGCGAGATCACTGCCACTGCTCTCAATGCAATGAGCACTGTAATTACCCAGTGCCGCATAAGAGTCGTTCCAGAGGGTACTCCCATTTCCCATCAAGACCACACTGATTCTGGGAGGCTGCACTCAAGTTTACAAACAGATAAACAGGTTTGCATTCCTAAGTTTGTGTAAGCAAGTTTCACTAGCTCAAGGAAGCAATTATTGGTTGCTCATTATAGTACAGTACTGAACTGTATAGGCAAATGTAGAAGATTTATGAAATTTAATAGAAAAGTTTCTGCAAGTTGTGAAAGTTAAGCATGTGTGTGCCACTGTAGCAAACTGGCAAGAGTGAAAATGGCCAATATGGAAGCATTTGAGTCTTCATGGCATATGCACTTTGTCAGATTTTGTTCTGAAATTTTTCATACCATATATAAATATTTTATGGCATTGTATTATAACTTACTACTCATCTTATGTTTCTTACCAGTTTTGTTGTCACTGCACAGAATATGTATATAATGTAACAAGCTAATTACCGGGCTAGTGCTGGCATCAGTTTCCTACCTCCATTTTGATTCAAGCAAGATTATCATTCATCATCATCCCAAACATCATTCCACATTTATTAACAATGATATGTCATTGGAATAAATATTCTATATCATCTTTCATTACACATTAAGATCATTCAGCACACCAGTTGGCTATTGATATTTAAGAATTATATCTTCGGTGGTTATATGTTCCTTAGTGCCTAGAATGCTTCATTTTCATCAGGCCCATTGCACTTTTGCAGGGGTCATGTATAAATGGCACTTAGAAACACTTTAATTCTCTCAAATACATACTGGTATTATACAGTAATACAATGTTAAAATATCTCATCTTTTATCACAATCGTATTGTTAAGTTTCAAATTTGCCCAAAAAGGTGTGTGTGATTAGAAGCCTTATAAAAATATATAGTGGTGTTCCATATATATAAAATAACCAATGTACATTGCTCTGGAGGTGGATATTGTGTTGTTGCCTTCCTCTTAAGCATGTCAGAGTTTGGGTCCATGGTATCCTCCTTGTACTCACCTAGTTATACTTGTGAGGGTTGAGCTTTGGCTCTTTGGTCCCGCCTCTCAACTGTCAATCAACTGCTGTACAGATTCCTGAGCCTACTGGGCTCTATCAAATTTACATTTGAAACTGTGTATGGAGTTTACCTCCACCACATTACTGCTTAATACATTCCATTTGTTAACTACTCTGACACTGAAACAAATTCTTTCTAATGTCTCTATGGCTCATTTGGGTACTAAATTTACACTAGTGTCCTCTTGTTCGTGTTCCACCCTTGCTAAATAGTTTGTCTTTGTCCACCCTGTCAATTCCCCTGAGGATTTTGTAGGTGGTTATCATGTCTTCCCTTACTTGACTGTCTTCCAAGGATATAAGGTTTAGCTCCCTTAGCCTTTCCTCGTAGCTCATACTTCTCAGTTCTGGGACTAGTCTGGTGGCATACCTCTGAATCTTCTCTAACTTTGTCTTGTGTTTAACTAGGTATGAACTCCAGACTGAAGCTGTGTACTCCAGGATAGGTCTGACATAAGTGGTATACAAGGTCCAGAATGATTCCTTACACAAGTTTCTAAAGGCAGTTCTTTTGTTGGCCAATCTAGCATATGCCGCTGATGATATCCTTTTGATGTGGGCTTCTGGGGACAGGTTCGGTATGATATCAACCACCAGATCTTTATCTCTATTTGACTCTTACAGGATCTCACCTCCCAGATGGTACCTTGTGTTCAACCTTCTGCTCCCTTCGCCTAATTTCTGTTACTAGAGTTGTATACAGGTTTGTTGAACCTCAGCTAGAGCTTTGTCTCCAGTCCTCACCACACTGGTCAGGGGTTGTGGTCACATTGCCTGTAGCGGTGGGCACATATCTAGGTGAGAGAGTGTGTGGTGGATGCTTTTCTTGAATGGTGGCTTCCTGTTGCTACTCATAATGAGATAGCTCCATACCTACAAGTCACATCAGCCCTTGCAAGTCATTAAAAGCCTACTTGGGACCAGAGGATAAATCCTGACCTCTCAAAGAAACTCAGAACAGGGGAGTCATGATCACTCTCACTGAAGAATCAAACCCTTCAAGAAAGTAGGAAAGCAAAACATAACTACAAGGTCAAAAGAAAGTAAACAAATATTGTGGCAAATGACTCGGCAAATGATTGACCAAGTGGTTAGGTCATACCCCCATAGTAAGAGGTGACCACCATCTAGTGCCAGCATCACTGGAGCTGCCGGCTCTTCCGTTAACAACCCACAGTCCATTCCTTAATGTCAGACTTACCTGACTGCTCCATGAGTCGCCAGCTCTCTGCATCCCAAAATTGTCTAGATAAGTGTTAGTCCTCCTTTTGACTGTGTCCTATGGGAGCCATTCGCTTGTGTATTGTTACAATCTTTGGTATTGGCTTCATGTGAGTGTTTACAAGCCTCTGCCTGTGCTTAAAGCTATGCACATGTTCACTGCTTTCCCGAGGTGCTCACTGCTTTCCCTAGGTGCTCACTGCTTTCCCTAGGTGCTCACTGCTTTCCCTAGGTGCTCACTGCTTTCCTTAGGTGCTCACTGCTTTCCCTAGGTGCTCACTGCTTTCCCTAGGTGCTCACTGCTTTCCCTAGGTGCTCACTGCTTTCCCTAGGTGCTCACTGCTTTCCCTAGGTGCTCACTGCTTTCCTTAGGTGCTCACTGCTTTCCCTAGGTGCTCACTGCTTTCCCTAGGTGCTCACTGCTTTCCTTAGGTGCTCACTGCTTTCCCTAGGTGCTCACTGCTTTCCTTAGGTGCTCACTGCTTTCCCTAGGTGCTTACTGCTTTCCCTAGGTGCTCACTGCTTTCCCTAGGTGCTCACTGCTTTCCCTAGGTGCTCACTGCTTTCCCTAGGTGCTCACTGCTTTCCCTAGGTGCTCACTGCTTTCCCTAGGTGCTCACTGCTTTCCCTAGGTGCTCACTGCTTTCCCTAGGTGCTCACTGCTTTCCCTAGGTGCTCACTGCTTTCCTTAGGTGCTCACTGCTTTCCCTAGGTGCTCACTGCTTTCCTTAGGTGCTCACTGCTTTCCCTAGGTGCTCACTGCTTTCCCTAGGTGCTCACTGCTTTCCCTAGGTGCTCACCGCTTTCCCTAGGTGCTCACTGCTTTTTCCTAGGTGCTTCCTGGTGCTGCCCCTGTCCGGAAAGAATTACTTACATGGTGGGTTTGGGTGTTTGTTTTATAGAGGCCATCCACCTGTGGAAGGTGCCTCACCTTGAGTCTTTGCAAGGGTCTTTGACTCCTCTGTGAGGTTCTGAGGTTGGGAGGGAATTCTGGGGTATGATTAGAAGTAATTACCTAAGTGTAATTACTTAAGTGTAGTTACAGGATGAGAGCTATGCTCATGGTGCCGCATCTTCCCAGCACTCATTGTTGTATAACTCTTTGAAAGTACTGATGGTTTTGGCCTCTACCACCTGCTCACCTAACTTGTTCCAACCGTCTACCACCCTGTTTACAAAACTGAACTTTCTTATATTTCTTCGGATGCTTTGTTTAGTTAGTTTAAATCTATGACCTCTTGTTCTTGAAGTTCCAGGTCTCAGGAAATCTTCCCTTCCAATTTTATTGATTCCTGTTACTCTCTTGCACGTAGTGACCTTATCTCCTCTTTTTCTTCTATCTTCTAGTTTTGGCATATTTAATGCCTCTAACCTTTCCTCATAGCTCTTACCTTTCAGTTCTGGGAGCCACATGTCTTTGCACCTTTTCCAGTTTGTTGATGAGCTTCTTAAGATATGGGCACCACACAACCGCTGCATATTCTAGCTTTGGTCTAACAAAAATCATGAACAATTTCTTTAGTATTTCGCCATCCATGTATTTTAAAGCAATTCTGAAGTTAGAAATCGTAGCATAGGCTCCTCGCACAACGTTCTTTATGTGGTCCTCAGGTGATACTTTTGTATCTAGAACCACCCCTAGATCTCTTTCTTTATCAGAAGTCTTTAAAGATTTCTCACTTTATTTATAGGTTGTGTGGGGTCTATGTTCTCCAATTCCACATTCCATAACATGGCATTTATTCACATTAAATTACATTTGCCAAGTGGTGCTCCATATACTTAATTTGTCCAGGTCTTCTTGAAGGGCATGACAATCATCTAAGTTTCTTATCCTTCCTATTATCTTAGCATCATCAGCAAACAAGTTCATATAATTCTGAATTCCATCTGGCAGATCATTTATGTAGACAATGAACATCACTGGTGCAAGAACTGAACCCTGTGGTACTCCACTTGTGACATTTCTCCAGTCCGATACATTGCCTCTGATCACTGCCCTCATTTTTCTATCAGAAAATTTTCATCAATATTAGAAGCTTACCTGTCACCCCTTCAATATATTCCAGTTTCCAGAACAACCTCTTATGTAGAACTTTGTCGAAAGCCTTTTTTTTAGGTCCAGATAGATGCAGTCAACCCAACCTTTTCTTTCCTGTAAAATCTCTGTGGCTCGATCATAAAAACAGTAAATTTCATAAACAGGATCTTCCAGATCAAAAACCATACTGTCTGTCTGATATTATATCATTTTTCTCCAGGTGTTCTACCCATTTAGTTGTAATTATTTTTTCCAATATTTTGACTATTACACTTGTCAATGATAAAGGTCTATAATTAGTGGGGGATCTTCCCTGCTGCCACTTTTGTAGATTGGAATTATGTTAGCCTTTTTCCCACACATCTGCTATGACTCCTGTACACAGGGTTGTCTGAAAAATCAGTTGAAGTGAAATGCTGAGCTCAGATGTATATTCTCTCAGAACCCATGGTGAATCTCCATCTGGGCCAACTGCTTTGTTCTTACTTAGCTCCTTGAGCATTTATTTCGCTTCATCTCTAAACACCTCTATGTGCTCTTATGTTGTTCTCTGGAATTCTTATTGTGTCTGGTTCTCTGAAGTTCTCATTTTGTACAAACACACTTTGGAACTTTTCGTTTAATGTTTCACACATTTTCTTTTCATTTTCCGAGTATCTGTCTCCCATTTTCAACCTCTGAATATTATCCTTTACCTGCAGCTTGCTTTTAATGAATTTATAGACAAGGCCTGGATCTGATTTATATATGTCTGCTAT